AGAGGTCAGTTACAACTGTAGTGACGGCGGTGATTCATGTTGCCTCGCTCAGGTGTTGAGCTACATCACTGGGAAAACACTTTTCCCCGAGTAAGGTGAAGTGCACAACATTACTGGCGCCAACAAGGAAGACGTGAGAAGGTCATGCTTGCTTGTCTTTAGATTAGTTGGTGATTGGTCGACAGTGCCTGAGGAACCATTGATAGCTGGGACAAGTTACAGTGTGTGTTGGACAAACGAGTGTTCATCGAGAAGAATCTTTGAATGGTGTCACGTCTTCAGAACAAAGCGTGATAAGTCTCAAGTGGAATCCAGCTCCCAGGTGTGTCTGGCCTGTGGTGTTCTCAGGCACATAAGCATTGCTAGTGTTAATGGATATAGCTTTTAGTGGGATTGTGATGAAAAGGACGTCAACATTGGTGAGAGGGAGGGAGGGCCAGAGCGGAGTACGTGAGTGGTAGTGGCTCTCGACGGTGGTGTACCCATTGAGGAAGAAGGTACCACCCTAAAGCTACATAACATGTCTACTAACCGTGTGGGTACAGGTTTTGCTGAGGGCGGGTTACCTTCCTGTTGGTGCCGTTCATGTGGTGATGTCTGGGGTGTGAGGTGGAGTGCATCAGTTAGCCCTGGATTTGATGACGTCGGGTTTGTTGATGTAAGGCTAACCTTGTGCTGTGCTTTGTGTGAGTGTGTGTGTGGTAGAGAGATAAGAAACGACATTAGTTCAGTTGCAGTTGTTGTCAAGTTAAGCAGTATTACCACCACACCTGTCACTAAACACTCAGAACACCTCAGCAGCAACCACCTCAGGACGACGATAACACACACACACTCTCTCTCTCTCTCGTTTAAGGCAGCTCTATACTGTACATGAACAAAACTCCACCAGGTCAAATACCCGCCAATTATAATTCTGAAAACCAAACCACCTCAAAGTCCAGTTGTTTTCTTAGCTTGGGGTCACGTGAGATTATGTTAGCTTTGGTTACATTAGCTTGGGTAGGGATTGTTGAAATTTAGGTGTCGTTAGATTACGGTCGGTTAATTCAACTTTGGGTTAGGTTAGCTTCCGTGACATTAGATTAGGTTAGCTGAGCCTAGATTGGGTTACATATTTTAGGCTACATTAGGCTACGTTTGGATGTAGGTTATGGTAGGTTACAATATGTTACGATTTGTTTAGTTTGGGTAGGGCTAAGTCAGGGTAGGTTAAGACCATGTTAGGATAAGGTTACGTTATATAGAGTTAGGTTAGGTTAGGGGAATCTTAAATTACAGATACGTTAGATTAAAGTAAGATTATGTTAAGGTAAGGCTAGGGTAGGTTAATTTAATGCCAGGTTAGGTTAAGATAGGGTTAGGGTGGGGAGGTAAGGCACACGTGTACACCAGCTGTTGGTGAACTGCAGGGAGGTAAATAAGTAAGAGGCGGTGTGTTGGGGCGTCAGTCAGTGAGCGTGGTGGTCATGTTGGCTCTTGTGGGGTGTAGGTGTGACCCCCCACACACACACATCTTGTTACAATAATACAGCTCCATTAATAGTGCTGTAGAGTTTGTATACATCAGGGTTAAGAGTTCGCTGCAGTTTTGTGTTGCCCAGTTGATTTTTTTTTTACCAATATTGATCAATCTTTTATAGTTATTGATTTACAGCATAGATCTAAAGTTCTCATTTAACTTTTATTTAACAATATTGATATTAGTTTTCCTAGGGTTATAATATTTTTAGTACGAGGGGAGCAAATGTGTACGCTAGTTGTAATTGTTAAGGTACATAATGAACAGTGTTGAACGTACGATAGACCAATGTTCAACTCCTAAAGATACTTGGTTAAAAACTTTGTGTTCTTAAGATAGAGGTGTGAGTACATAGAGCAAGGGATGCACGACACTAGGGGCAATGCCGGTGGTTTACGGGGCAGGTGTCCGACACAGATGTATGTAATGTAGATCCCGGCACAGTTACCAGATCATTCGTCAACAACACACCCTAGTTAGTGTCCGGAGGCTGGGGTTGGGAGGAGGGTGTCGGATGGGGTGGAGGTGGTTATAGGTGAGTCCTGCAGCCAACACCTGGTAAACGACAGTACGTCACCCCTCATTAAAAGCTGAGTGTTTGACCAGCCATCTTAACTGTTTGCTGCGAGGGAAATTACGTATGAAAATAACATGGAATTGACGGTGATACACAAAATAGCTGCGAGTATATTGTCAATTCTTGAGAATCTCTGAATGACCGGGATGGAGAACCGGATGTAAGAAGAGAAAAGATTCAATTTGCAATATTTCTTTTTGTATTACTGTAATAAACCGCTGGGAGGGAGAGCGTGGTGGGGGAGCTGTACCTTGTCCGTCCGTTGGCTTGTCCTTCTCTGTCCGTCCACCACACCTCCGAGTTTACAATAACTTTAATAACTATAATTAGATCTTAGCTGAAATTGTTAAGTAGCCTCCTATCACTAACGCCCGGGAGTAGTGTGAATATCAGCGAATACCAGCCACAGTTGACGGAGTTTTGGTGCTGTTAACATGGAGGTGATATGTGTTCAAGGAGTGACATTTCCTACCATGATGATGATCGCTTCTTCACCGTTATACATTGCCCGTGTTAATAATAGGACAGAGTGAGTCACAGGCAGGGGTGAGGGTGTGGGTGGTGAGGGAGGACCGTAGTAGTGACCGTTGAACTGGTAACCGCTGGTGGTGGGTGTTCTTGACGGCACCCGCTCGCTACCTCTGGGTGGTCTCCTAACCCTCTCTCTCTCTCTCTCTACCAATCATTCCACCAATCATTTCTTTTAACTCACATTCCCTCATACTCCCCACCTTTTGTATACTAATATTTTGGAACACATTCATTATTCGTTACACACTTCTGATATATTTTCGTCACAAACATTAATAACAGATTACGTCACGTCGACACACCCCTTACACATTGCGTCACGTAAAAGCTCCATAACACACAATGGGTCGTGAGAGACACACACATTGTCACATACTCTTGCCCCCAGCATCACGCCGCCAGATGAAGTGTCACAGCCTAGTGAACAACAATGTGTAGCATTTCCTCACAAACTTGTGGTATTTCGCCGGTGGGAAGATGTGTGTGGTGCTCCTGACCACCACTGACTGAGAGGTCACCTTCAGTAACAGCTTTATCAAGTATTGTTGGGGGCGAAGTCACTCTAGTCCTAACATGAATGACCCTTACAACCTAACCTAACCTAACCGATCATGACGTTTATAACCTAACCGGATCTCATAAAGAATAGGACTCCCGCTATTTCACCTGATAATTAAACACCCTAATGCTAACCTAACCTAATCTAATTCCCGCGTTTGGCGTTATAGCGTTAAGGTGTATAATCATCAGGTGAAGCAAGCAGGGATTCCCAATCTTCATGAGATCCACGTAACCAAACCAAACCTACGTAACTTGTAGTACGACACAGGGAGACGTAAGCAGGCCAGATTCTGTTCATTTTATTATATATTTATGGTGGTAGAATTGTGTCCATTGAGAAATCGTGTGGTGGTGGTGGTGGGGGGTACTGTTAGCGCCTCGATAAATTAATAACAGTACCAGCAAGACCAGGAACATGGCCGTCACCCGTACAAGTTACAACTGCTTGGACTAACACGCACGAGCGGCACGACCATTATTTAAACGTTTTCTTCGTAAGCCTTCCATCATACATCTAGCGAGTAATACCCTCCCCCCGTGTTGCCAATTTCCATTTATTAGATAAACAATGTGTGTTTTATCTACGACGAAAACAATACCGTGTGGGTGAGCGGTTTACCGGGGGACCTGTTCTACACGTTTTTATATGGAAGTGGTGGTGTCCCCTTAGTGGCTCTGAGGTTGAAATTTATTACTGTGTTTCAACATTTAAGGTCTTTAAGCGCGTAATCTAGAGTAGTAAACACAGTACTCATTAACATATAAAAATCCACGTATTTCAGTTGTTGGTTTGTATTCAGAGTGAAGTAACATAGCAGGTAACAGGAGATTGTGGGCAAATGTTGTGTCTGGCGTGTTTGGTGACCAACAAACTCCTCCTTGTATGTGTTCTACAAGAATCGTAGTAAACTGGTCGCTGTCTCTTACACTGACGATTGAATGTTACAGACTAAATGTACTTTTTTCGAACAGGTGAAGATTAGGCACCCCGGCGTATTTCACGTTAACCTAACCCCCAGATAGCTTTATGTTAAATCATCAGGTGGAATAAACTAGAGTCTAATATTCACGTGGTTAATTGTTTTTATTTACCTGTATTATTCAAAACAAGGTTGACCAAAACAGTAATACTGCGTTAGTGCAGCAGTGAATGAAGCCAACTCAGGAAAGTGAGATGATTTACGTCTCATTATCAGTAGGGAGGGAGGGAGAGGGGCGCACCGCTACCGTTCAGTAACTTGAGAAAGCTTGACTTATCGTTGTGAACTTCAGTGTACAGCTTGATATGACTGATAAACTTACTGTACAGCTTGAGTTTGGTAGTGTGCATTTGACGTATGTTGTATATTACGGTGGATGCAAACATCATTGTCAGTGATTGTCCTGTTTAGTTATATTTTATTAACCTGTTTTTTTTTTGTTATTTACTTTTATATGTACAATGAAAGGCAAAAGTCGTGTCATTAAATTTGGTGAAAACATATGCCGAAGGGCTAAACTTTTGGTGCGCTCTGCCTTGTGGTAGACTCATAATGTTTCACGAGTTATATTAATCTTCGGACAAAACCGCGACACGACTTTTGTCTTTGTACCTAAAGTAATAATGTATGATTCATAAGAAATGGTTGTAGTGAGAGTAAACAGAAAACGTTACTAAATGAGAATATTAATACCGTAATGAGTGTAAGATTTATTAACATTAATGGACATAGTGATAATTGACTTATATTTATTATAAAAATTAAGATGAGTCAGGGATATGTAAATATATATAACCTGTATCTGCCTAACCCCCTTTAATTTTTGCAGTTTTCTATGTCCAAGGTAATGTAAATATACATTGTCAGGAAGTGAGGTTTCCTTACTTTGAATTATGATTGTTGTTGTTGTTTCCTAAGTCAGTTTATTTTGTGGGTGGTTCTCATGAATATTAGGAACTCACTCTTATTTCACCTGATGATTAAACTCCCTAACACTAAAGGGGGGTTAAGTTAAGTTAGTGTTAGGGAGTGTCTAGTCTCTAAGATTGAATAAATGGAGAGGAAGGTGTGAGGTTTAGTGGTGAGGGAGGGAGGGTGACGGGCAGCCATGTGTTGACAACATTCTGGTGGTGTTTGGAGGACCGTGTGACGTTCACTCCGGCTGTTGCTACTTACGTGTCACCCGTGGCGAACTGTGTTGTACACCTGTCACCACCACCTTAATCCGGGTTTGTAGGGCCATATACTACCTGGCCTACCTTAACATATACAATCTTGTCAAAACTAACCTAACCCAACCTTGTCAAAACTAACCTAACCTGGTAAGGGAAAGAATGTAAGCTGGTGGGGATTTATTCCGTTCATTTCTCAAAGCCAAACCTGCTTGTATTTATCTTAGAATAGGAAGTAGAGTCACGGCAAGTTTCTCTCAGGTATTGTGTTGTCTTTAGTTAGGATTACCGTAAAAGTGATGCCCTAACTTGAGTCAGCTGAACCTAGTGAGTTACAATCGCTCCTTTTTATCATTCAGTTAGGGCTCCACCTCTAGGATACCGCCCCAGTATGCAAATCACTGTCCTGTATTTCTACTTACAACTTACTATAGGCAAATCTCTGTACCTTATTTATATCTTACTTTATGTAAATCACTGTATCTTTACTTCATATCCTGCTTTGTGTATTATTGTTTGTGGATAAACTTTACATATGTGAATTAGTATCGGGCGAGGCGTTTTCCCCAGCTGGTGTGAGAGACGCGCGCTGGCCAGGTGATGATCGTGCCAAGTTCCAAACCTGTAATACACACACACACACACACTGACCTTCATCTGTGCGGCACGCGACCTCATGCTGACGTCATAGGGTTTAACTATAGATCAGTCAGTGGTCGTCAAGACATCAGCAGCGACGTTCAGATTTTTTTCTTACCTGTCATTTTTTTTTTTTTTTTTTTAGTTGCGTTAGTGCTTAGGTTGACCGAAAATGTTGTACCCGCGTAGTGAGGCTGTTTTATCTTTCCGGGTGTGTCAAATAAATTTACAGTAGTTCAGCATACATGTAGACAATGTAGGTAGACAGTGCACATAACTATACAGCTCATCAGTGAAGTACACATTAGGGGTTTTTTTTAGTTATTGTATCGTGTAGTAACCAAGACTAATCGGTGGTTGAAGACTGGCCGCTGAGACTGAAATACTTGAAAATAACTACAAAAATGCTCTACACATGATTTATACTTCCTATTGCTGCTATTTGGTTATCGCTGTAGTGGTTGACCCTGACAACTTGTGTTAGCAGATTCCTTTACTTCTTGATAGTGACCTCAGGCAGTATCAAGTTGTATCCCACGTGAGCAAGTTAAAACACCAGTTGTAATCCGTATATCGTGATAGTGAACCTGGACGACTTATAACATTAGTTATATCCTGTAGAGCGTGGCGGCGCGGGACAATGAACCTTGTGAGGGGGAGCTGTAAGGTTGATCACTAGTATGGCGCGAGTCGGTCTGCCTAGCGAACTCATTGATCCATCAACACGGGGCGACGCTCCTCACGGGACTTGCTATATTTGTTTACAATAGGAGAATATAATGACGAGAGGGGGGTATGTGCATGGCGTCAGTGATAGCAGGAGAGGTGAACTGTTACGACGGTCCAGGAGGCCCACTCACTCACTCACTACCAGTTGCTAGATATTATAAGTTAACACAGGACGGCCGAGTTGCCTAACGCCCGCGATTCTGCTGCTGCCTACGTGTCCGAGTTGTATTTAATTCAGATATTTCTTGTTATCTCTAAATACGTATCAGAATCACATACGTCATTACGTAATTTCATATTTTAAATCCTGTATATGATAGGTTATCTGGGTATTAATCCGTGTCTATAGGGAAAAATCATTAATTTCTCTGGTTCATATAACATAAGAATCTGACTTAGTTCTAACACAAGTTTACCGAGACTGTGGTGGTGGAGGCCGGAGTGTTGACCCGCGTATATATGACCACTGATGACCATGTTTCTGGTACTCCCTCTCTCTTATATCACACCTATACTCACACATTCCTTAGCTGTTATGCGAGTGTCTCAGCAGGATGTGTAATTCCGAAATGTAGACAGGTGTGCGTGTGGACATTAGCGAGGTTGTACGGGGTAGCGCGGGTCTCACATCCACAGTGTTGCCAAGGTGGAAGTGGAGGTTGGTTGGTGGTGGTGATGGTCATCTGCAGGTCCCAGGGGCGTCCAGTAGGGGATACTCCATCCCAACAATCCACTCTGGATTTATTATTGTCCTCGTATGTAAATAATCCGTATTAAACTTTCGTGGTAAATGATTATGAGGGATTATTATTAAAACACTGGCGTTTGTATTCCTGTTCTCCCCTCTCGTCTTCCTCACCTCCCCCCCTCTCCCATCCACCCTACCTCCAACCATCACCACTGCCTCTCCTCCCCCTCTCTCCTCACCCCCCTTCCCCTTCTCCCCCTCTCTTTCCCCCAAGTTTATTGTCGGGTTCCCCCCCTCTTCGTATGTGCCTTTCCAACTTCCTTTGTTAACGTGTGTGTGTGTCGGAGGGAGCGGCCGTACACTACTGTATTATACACCGACTCACTACACTACCATACACGCTACTTAACGAAGGTTTCATTAATAAGATTTACGTGTTTGTTTTTGACACTGAGTCTAACAAAAAAAAAATACATCTTTCGCATTCACCACCACACTGGGTTACTGTTACCGAATCGGATTCAGACAGTTTATATAACTACAAGGATACAGACTTGGTTGCAGAACTTCACAAATGATAACACTGGCTGTAAAGTTGGTATCTTAACTTAGCTGATTTTAGTACTTGTTTGTTCGGGGAGTGTGCAGGGCACTGGCTATTAGATTAAAAAACAAAGTCTTCACACACACACACACACACACACACACACACAGGCCCTACAAACTGTATCACGCCAACTTTGAACGCTTGGTACGACCTCTTAACCTAGATATGAATAGAAATGTTTCTAAAACCTGTTTGAGTAATGATTTTTGAGTAGTGATTTTCACTACATGTACAAGATTCGAGTTGTTAGGATATCGACACTGTTGGTCCCTTTTGCCTGTTATTTGATTTCTCGTAAGATTTTATCTATATTGCCCTTCAGTTAGTGCAAATTTAAATATTTATAAATTGGCTTGTTTGGATGCGATGGAAGTGTCTATGAAATGAATAATTGACTTTAAACGTAAATTCATTTTTTTTATTACTGACATCATTTTTGGAAGTGACGAAGTTAAGGAACATTTTGTCTTGAAATTATCGAGCGCTTCCAAAATTACTGATTATTATTATTTGGCTTAAATACGTTACCATACTATTTACCTAATATTTAGAATAGTGGAAAGTGTGCTTTAGCACTAGCCAACCATGCACTCTGTTTACTTAATAATTAGTGCAGTATATTGTACTACATTGTTTACTCTTCCGTTAATTCATCTCCCCTTCACTCGGCTACCATACACAGCCTGTCGCTGTCATTATTATTCATTGCTTAATCCTATACATCACATTCTCATTACTATTTTCATATTTGTATTGTTATTTCTGTTGCATATTCATTTGTCAGTTGTATTTTATTTATTTGTTATCCATTGATGTTTAAATGTTTCGGAGTAAATATATTCCATTTCTCTCCCTTTCTTTCTCTCCACCACAAATTCACACCAGATCCGCCACAATCAATACCTCAAAAGTGCTCAGGTGGGAAATAGAGGTTGGTGATGTGTGTACAGTCGATCATACGGGAATGTTGCCTAATTGTACCCTGCGCTTACTTACGAGACAAAAATCTATTAATATCGCAATACACATTATGGCCAAACTGCGTGTAATTACATAGTGTACAGTGATTTACTAGTACGTTAACAAAGATATGTCAGAATTTTATAGATATGCTTGATGGACTCTGTTAAAATAGACAAGTAGGTATTTCAGAGTTTTTTTTTATTTCTTACAGTATACTATATTTCACATAAAAAAACATATATTTCTTACAATACCGGTGATTGTTAAGATGACGTACAATCAATTGATGTAGGCGATAGAACTTGTATCCTAGTACAATCAAAATTTCATACACAAACCAGCGAATCTGGCACAAAAAAGGCAATATATTTCCTACACGTTACAGATAAACTCCGTGTGATTACATAGAGTTACAAAGATGTAAGACATACCAGACATATTTGACTTTGCAGGTACAGTTACAGTACTGATATATGCACAGGAGCTATTACTATTGAATCTGGGTTAAGAAAGGTGGGGTGGGGTCACTTGAGGCGTCTAGAGAGTTGTGTGGAATGATGATATTTGCCCTGGTATGATTGGTGTATATGTCGCATGGTAGGAATGGTGTATGGTAGTATATTTCACGTGGTATGATTGGTGTTGATGGTATATTTCGCATAGAATGGGTGGTGTATGATGATATATTTCGCCTGGAATGAGTGATGTATGATAGTATATTTCGCATGGTATGAGTGGTGTATGATATATTCCGCATGGTATGATTGGTGTATGGTATATTTCGCCTGGTATGAGTGGTGTATGATATATTTCGCATGGAATGAGTGGTGTATGATGGTATATTTCGCATGGTATGAGTGGTGTATGATATATTCCGCATGGTATGATTGGTGTATGGTATATTTCGCCTGGTATGAGTGGTGTATGATATATTTCGCATGGAATGAGTGGTGTATGATGGTATATTTCGCATTGTATGAGTGGTGTATGATATATTCCGCATGGTATGGTTGGTGTATGGTATATTTCGCCTGGTATGAGTGGTG